ATCGTCGACTGTTGGTTGAATGTTTTCCGTGCAGGTATGCATTCCTGCTTTTCCGCTTGACCGTTAATTCTAGCTAACGATGAGCTGCGCGTTGCGCTCTTCTTTTTGATGAACGATGTCGTGCAGAAGGCCCGTCAGAAGGAGCAGCCAGAACTTCTGTCCGCCTTCCAACCAGTCCTGATTTCTGCTATCAGACTCGGAAAGTACGTATTTTATTCCTGAGCTCGATTTGAGAAATTTAGGGCAAGTGACAGGGTCAATTCGGTGATGGAGCGCGTGTTGAAAATCCTCGCCGAACGCAGGATTTACTCGCAGGAGTCTGTCGCTTGGCTGTTGCAAAGATTGAGTGGGTTTTTTGGTGCTCTTCCTAGTTTTTGTCTTTTAGAAGAGGCTGATGACGAAATAATTGAAACCAAGCCAGTGGTGCCGCAAAAACCGGTAATTTTCGCAAGGTCCAAGCCATGAAATTATTTTTGCAGTTTGATAAGCTTCAAGGTGCCCACAACGACTTGGAGAAGGGTTGCACGAGAGTCAATGGGCCAAACTTTCGTTATGGCGAGATGAACCAGACAACGCGGAGAAGTGAGGAATTTGAAATTGTATATTTAATGCGGTTATCTTTAGACGGTCGTGATCACATGAGCGCCCCACCGGCAAATTTTGCGAAAACCACGCACCCTATGGATCGTCGGCACTCCGAGCATTTTGAGCCTTGTCGGAATGGCATCTTCGGTGATAGAGGACCGCGTGCACAGAAACGTTCGCTACCAAGGGAAAATGAGGTATGCGCAGTGCTTTTTTTTATTTTGACCTTTATGAAAGGCGCTCGACGAGCTGCCAGGCTATTTTTTGGGGTGGTTTTCGAAATTCCCCAATTTTTCTTAATGTTACTAAGATATTTGCGAACTGGGCCAAATTTCCGATTTTTTCCCCCGATACAAATGTTTTAGAAAAATTTCTGTAATTTTTATGCCGTTTCGTCGTCAATTTTTGAAAGCTATTTGAGAAAAAACAGCTTGAATGGCGGGTAAGCCGAGCAAATCGAGTTTTGGAGAAAAACGTGTAACTTTTGCATGAAAAATGCCAAAAATTCGGGAATTGCGAAAATCGGAGAGAACATACTTCCGCAGCTCAAGGAGAGCTTTCGATACAAACCTAAATCGTGAAAATCGGCTTGATCAACCTGTAGAATTTTGTCATTTCCAGCAACGTCCTCCACGTCCAATGGGCGGAATGCTCCCTCCCACGTTGATGCCTGGCGCTCACGCGTTCGTCAACCCGATGGGGATGATCGCTGCACTGCAGCAAAACGCTCAGCCTCCCCAGCAGCCTCCAGCTCAGATGCCGCCTCCTCAACATTTTCATCAAATTGTAATAAAATTATGAATATTAACAGAATATTGCCACGTCGTTTTGATTTTTTTTTTGCGTTTGATCACTTTCGTCCGATTCTGGGCCGTCAGAATGCTTTTTTCTTCTGGTGTTTTTACCAGACTTACGGCTGGATGTTTGATTTTTCGTTCGGCCTAATAGCGAAAAGGGCGGTAAGATCGGACGATTTGGGCAGGCCGTTGAGAATTTACGATATCAACTGCGCAGGATAGTACGATTCACGCGTAGAAGGAACTTTTTTGAAAATCTTTAATCCAATTTTAATTTCTTTGAAGGCTGCGTAGGCAATTTTTTCGAACATCATTATATGAAATTCGATTGATTCGAAGCGGGATTTTGTTAAAGCGTGCATTATGATAATTTTTGACCCCAGACCGAGCCGCAAGGTAATTTACTGGCGACTAAAAACACAATTTTTAGACTCCATCAATGCTGATGACGCCGCCTCCACCCATCAATTCTTGGGCCCCACGCCCGCTTCAAGACAATCTCCCCTACATCCCGCAAGGAACTCCGTCTTTTCTGCAATCAACCAACGTCCCATACCAACCACCGCGCAACGTCTCGCCCTGGGCGCACAACATTTCGCCGCACGAGCTCAGCAATGCGCAGCAACCACCCCGCGATCCTTCGTCCTGGCTCCAAGATGCGACTCCGTTTTTGCCGCCCAACAATCGGGACTACCCGCCGGCTTCTTCTCCCTGTGAGGATCCTCGCCTTGGCCAGCAAATGAACAATCACCAACCGGCGATGGTTGATCAGCAACGCGAAAATTGGGCTCCGCCCTCACTTTCGCACCATGAATACCCTGAAGACGAGCCGCTGGATGTGAAGCCGCTGATATTGCCGAATCGAGAGGTGGCTCCTCCCATATTTACGCAGCACAGCGGAATCTCTTTGGATGTCAAACCGTCCATTCAGGTAATAAACTCGTTGGAATTTTTTAAGGTGTTTTCGCAATAACGGGGGGGGATTTTCCTAGTCTAGAAATGCTTAGTAACGTAATAGTAAGAATTTTAATAACCTTTTTAGAACGATTTAACTAGATCCCAAAAGGTAGAAGTCGAAAATTTGCTATTTTCCGATGGAAAAAGTGGGATTTTTTGGATTTTTTTAATAAAAATTGTAACGTTTTTACGTTTGTAAATAGTAAAAAGTGGGCCTAGAAAGAATTCTGCCATTGATATTAGAAAAACGTTACTTTTCTTTTTATGCTATTTTCATTTTCAGGAGACACCTCCCAACAGGCCCGCCGCTCGCATCAACCTTGAAGGCGTCAAGATCGAAGGCGTATCCGAGAACAACCGGATCTTCTTCGATGGAAAAGCATACGAGGTGGGCGGCTTTATATTGCTTTAAAAATTTGTTTTTTTAATTATTGTATCGCTCGAAAACGAATTAATTTGCGTTTTAATTCCATTAATTAGGTGGAGTACGTTGACACGACGCCGATCATCGAACGGAACGGCTGGCCGCATCGCGTGTATTTTGGCGGTGGATCGAGGAACGTGATCATCGACGGCACCTGTCATCCCCTGGCTTTCGGGGAAACGAAGGTTGGAGCTTTTGCAATATCGGGGGAAGCAATTTTTCCCCTAGATGGCCGGTTCGAAAATGTTCGAAAATCGCAATTTTTGAGCGAAAATCGATATTTTGGTATTTTTAGATGGAAATTGGTACCCCGATACCCCCCCCGATCCTGCAAAAGAACCTTTTTAGCAAGTTCTGATCGATGGCGAAGAGCACGCGATTCGTTTTGGTGGCCCGTCGAGGGAACTGTTTATGGGCGATTATCCTTTCAAGGTACGGCGTTCTTGCAAAAATATTGTAAGAATTTTAGGGGACCTTTGGTGGCCCTCCAATTTTTGCGACCATCAATGGCGTTCGCCACGAGATCCGTCTAGGCGGGCCTGCGCCGGAGGTATATTTTATAAAACCTTTGGTTTCGTTAAAAAATTTGTTTTTAGGTAAAAGTCGAGCCCACACCCGCCTACGAACTGGCGCGCCATCTGAACGTCGCGCGCAAGCCGCAACCACCGACGCCCGTCGTCTCCAAGCCGGTCACGGAATCTTCGCACATGACCGATGACGGAAGTGGGTTTAGCTTTTAAATCTTAAAAGTTTGCAAAAAAGTTAAAATAAATAACGCGATATTTGCTTTGGTTCATTAACGGGGGTGGTAATGCATTTGAGCACTGACTTTATTTAGCCAAAGCTCCAAATAAGCACAATTTTCTATATTGTTTTTTTGGTTTCGACAGTTCCTATTATTAAGAAACCAGTCAAGGAACCATGAATTTAAATACCTTCTTTTTCGGCCTGCGCATGAACCTGAGTCAAGGAGCCATTCTTTGGCCTGCGGCGCAAGAGCCAGAGTAGCGCTAGAATCCTTGAGCCTGCGGCGCTAGTTACTGGTTTTTCTCTCCCGGAATCTGGCCTGCGGCGCGAGAGCCTGGGTCCAGGACCCATCCGTGGCCTGCGGCGCGGAGCCTGGGTCAAGGACCTTTTCTTTGGCTGCGGCGCTAGAGCGAGCCAGGCCAAACCTCGCACAACGTGAGCCTAAAAATAAGTTTTGTTGCTGAACTACCAAAAAGCAAAAAGTTAAATTGGCCGAGGATCCGAACCCACGAGCATGCGCGTGGTAGACCCCACCCCAATCCAATACACCGCAGGACGGATGGGAACGGGGGCGGCAAAGGCCTCTTCTGTCCTGGGGGCGGGTCCGCCCCGGGCAGCGGTAAAGAAATGAGAGCTGGGAGCGATGCCTACTGGTCACTTTGCAAAATTCGCTTTTTTAGTCTGAAACTGCCAAAAATTTGTAAAAATAATAAGGTGCGCGTGATCTCCACTATCGAATACATAAGTGTTCCAAATTACAGCCCGAAATTCCATCTGGGCTTCGAGTTATGGCCTGGACACCACGACACTTTGGCCATTTTGTTAAGGATTTTTGTGAAAAATGCTTATAAAAACCTTATTTTAAAGAATTAACGAAAATCCAAAAAATAGTATCGAGATATTTTCATTATGCATCAACCCACCAAAAATCAGGGTCTAACTCCTTCAGGCAATCGAGATAGCCTCTGAACAAACCTTTTTTTGGCCAAAATGTTAAGGGTTTTATACTATTTTCCTTGTAAAATCGTTAAATGAAGGAATTTCGAAAAACAAAAAAATGCGTATAAAGAGGATGTGTTTCTCCGTCTCCATGCCAAAAATCAGCGCGAAATTCGGCCTGACGGCCGTGAAATCGTCATTACAGAAAACACACATACTTTTCTCGCTTATAGGATAGGATGTGAAATCTTAAAAACCTGACATTATTAGTTTTTCATACACTTTTTCCAAAATTTTTGTTTTAATAAATAAAATTGTAGAATTTTAAGCAAATTTTACTAATTCATGAAAAACTTGTTATTGCTCAAAAAAGAAACAAAATGCCATTTTAAATACCTTTTATACCTTCATGGGGTCCACCGAAACAGGAAAAAGCCCCCCCGCTATCGTACCAGCACCCTATTTTTTTGCGTATTTTAGAAATCCACCTCAGCGACTACCTGAAGTACATCCTGCGTACCTGCAAGCCGACGACGCCCCCGGCCCAGTCGATGATCGACAACACGCCGGTGCCAATCCCGACAGGTCCCCTTCGCCGCCCACACCCGCCCGACTTGACCAGCTTCAACGTTCGCAATTTTAAAATGTAATCGATTTTTCTTTAGTTGCTCTACTGACCTTGTTTAGTTGTTACGATTCGGTGATCGCCCAGCTCCACGACAAGAAGAACTGCTGCCCGAAATGCGGAATCAGGAAAGACATCTTTGACGACAACGGGTAGCCGCTTTTCATCTTTCTGACTTAATTTTTTAGCTACAAGCAGCACCTGGAAACGCACGTCAAAGAGAATCTTCGCAAAGAACCGAAAAATACCCTGAATAAGCAACGCCGGTGGTACGTGAGCCTGGAAGTACGTTGGAATACGATGACCATATATGAACGTGGTTTTTAGGTTTGGGTCTCTGATTTTGGCCAAAACGAAGCCACGTCTGTGAAGGAGGCCGAGAAAGAGAACGCTCCGAGAGCTCCAAGTATTTTAGCTTTTTTCTATAATACACCCACTTTTTAAGCGACGGCTCGACTGGCGGCTGGCGATACCGGAAAGAAGGTGTGCTTCGCGTGTCGTGACAGCTTCAAGCGGGTCTTTGACGACGACGAAGAAGTCTGGTTTCTGAATGATTGTGTCATCTCGCAGGGCCAGGTCAGCGCTAGTCTTACATGGGGCTGTTTTTTGGATGATGATAGAGTTTTGCAATGCGACTTTTTCTTTCGCATTATCGGTGGGGGGGTGGTTCCGTGAATCCCAGAAATGTCTAGTTCTCTCTAGCGTGTTTTTAGTAAAATCTAGCTATACTTCAACGCGAAAAAACAATTAAAGTAACCTAGAAAAAAAATTGTACTCGAAATTTTAGTCGGAAACTGGCCATTTTTGCTCGAAAAATCGATATTTTTGTATTTTCGAGCCGGTTTCTAAGGGTTTACGTCCAGGAATAGTAATAAATCGTTTAGAAGGAATCCGCTATTTATTAAAAAAAAATTGGACCCTAAGAAAAACGTTCCCCCGATAACGCGAAAGAGCCGTGAAATCTCAAAACTCGATTACCAGTCAAAAGCGCTGCTCGTTTTTTTTGGGTCAGAGTCGAGTTTTAAATAAATAGAATTAATAGAAAATAATTAATGAATTTCAATACCCTGTTCTTTCAGTACTTCCATGAAAGCTGCGTCTACGTGCTGACCATCAAGGAAGAGGAGTTCGAGCGTTCGAGCGAGTCCGAGCTTCCCGGGCTCGGAGAATAACCCGCAGCGCCCTCCAACGACGTTGACAAAACTCGCTACTAGTCCCTCACACTCGGTTAAACCCAGCCCTTTCTTACAGATCCACTTCGGATCGTCTATCTTTGTTTTATGTGCCTCACGCATCACATTTCGTTTTTTGAATAGGAAGCGGGTACGGCTGTTAACGTGTTATATTGTGATTGAGACGATCGTGTCTCCGTTTCGCCCCTAACCACCTTTTAGCGCATTCTGCATGGTGTCTGTTTCGTTTCTGCTTTCATTTGCGAATAAATGGCAACTTATCCAGAGGAGTTTTTTGGTTTTCACGTTCTTGACGTTTGATTTTACTCAAAATAGACGGTACTGGGTCGTTAGCGGGGGGGGAGCAACCTCTTTTTTTCAGCGAGCCTCCATAGTCGTAACTGTATCTAAACGATTTTCATAGTATTTAGTAGTTTCTGCTACGCTACAAAATTTTAGAAAATTAAAAATTCGATTTTTTTGCCCATTTTTTATGCATTTTTGAACAAAACAGTCAAAATTTTTCGAAAATTTTAATAATTTTAAGGAGGTTTTTACATCTAAAAAGAGCGGAAAATGCTAATAAAACGTTTACAGTTACGTTTACGTACGTTACGTGTACGTTTCTTTAGAGGGATTGAGGTCAAACGAGCTAGATTTTTTAGTTTTGAGCATGATCCTGGAAACGGGGCTACTTGAAAGGTGCTCAAAGAGATGAGCTTCACCTTGTTCCTCCTCCTCCTCCCGACCTCCGAGATTCAATTAACGGCGCCCTCTTTTAGCCGGCACTCACCGGATGCCCAATCTGCTCCACACCCCTCATCGTCGTGCTTCGATGTTTGCTCCCACGCCGGCCGGGCACCACGTCAAATTGGAATCTAATCTTTTGCAGAGGGCACTTCCCCGGTCATTCTAGAGGCCCGGGACAAAGCACATGCTTCCGGGCGGGGAGTTGATTTTTTGGGGAGCTGGGCTGTTAGCGGGGGTGGAAGCTAAGCTATAGCCTATCAATAAGCCTACCTCACCGTTTTAAGTGTTTCATCGTGTATTTCTCGCGTTTTAATCAGTTTCTGACACTAAAAACTCATCAAAACATTGTTAGAAAATCAAAAAATTGAACTTCTGGATCGATTTTCATACATTTTGGGGGTTTTTATAGGCACTGGGCTGTTAGCGGGGGGGGCAAGCTCAGCTAACTAGTCTACGTCACATTTTGTAATGTTTTAGAGTGTTTTTGATACGCAAAGTTCAACAAAAAGTGTTAAAAACTTTCAAAGTTGCAATTTTTCGCCATTTAGAGAAAAAATGAAAATTTAATTGATTTAAACGCTTTTTGTGAACTTTCTATATTTAAAAAACGGCGCGGGCGTTAGTATCATGAATTTGACCGCCGGCTCCTCCCCCCGCTACGAGTCCAGTACCTTTGGAGCTTGTTTTTGAAGGTTTTTCCTCGAATTTTCCGGATTTCTGATCCCGAATGCTGACAGATCAGTTCAGGTAGTGCTTAGCCTGTGTTTATCGAATTTCGACGCCGGCCCCGACGGCGCGTTGAGTATTGACACTGGCGATTAGGTCTTTTGTGCGCCCCGGCTGGCTGCTGGTCGCCTTTGTACGCGCCCAAGTTTTTGCGCGCCGCCCTCACGTAACTCACCGTGGCGGGGTAAACAGTTTGCGGTAATGTTTGGATCTTGTTAAGAGGCGTATGTATTTTTAGATAGTTTAACTCAAATTATTAAAATTCAAAAATATGACAAGTTTTAATTTTTTAAATTTGATTTTTGATTTTGCAGAGGTAGGTATTGAATCAAAATAGGCGCCATTTTTCGTCAAACATTTTAACCTATTTTGGTTTTCGATTTGTCTATGAAACTTTTGAGAAAAATCATGATTTTTCACAAAATGGGGTTTTCGGCCTAGAAAGAACGAATCGCGCCATTCACGTACAGTTGTACGTGCATAGGAGCACCGCGTAGCTATTTTCCTAAACTTGCCTTTTTTATTGGAATGGCGTGGTAAATCGTACTTTAAAAACCTAATTTTAAAAAGAAATTTTCTAATCATTCTTGTTTTCCATGATTTGTGAAAATTAGTTTTCGACGAAATGATAGGGCTGAAAAACGGTTTTTAGGCTAAAAATGGGGGAGTTTGTTTGTTTAAATTTGTCACTTAGGACCGGTGTTTCTGGCCATTAAAACCTCGTGCTCAAGGAGGACAATAAAAGATCCGGACCATTTTGCAGCCCCACAAAAAACGGGAGGAGGCCGAGGTCGAGAGTCAGCCGACGTGTTTCCTTTTGCCCCTCATTCTCCTCCACTCACCTCGCTTTTTCTTGCCTTCTTCCTCTTTCCGCCTTTTTGGCAGCCACGTTTTTTTTGTGGCCGACGGTCCCTTGTGAGGTAATTGATTACTTTTTTGAACGTTGCCAGTGTCTGAATGGGCGCATCATCACCATCATGTTGCCGTTCTGCCCATTTTACCAATTTCTGCCTTTTTGTCATTTCCTCCAATTTGTCGATGCGTTATCGTCGATCCGTCATCTTTGCCCGATCTCTATCACCACCGCGCTGCCCGCAGATCAATTATTGTGAGCACAGAGGCGAAAAGGAAATCGTACCGGAAACGGGCCGGCTAATTTGGGGGCTTGCTGGTGTTCGTCTTTAGCTTGTGGTTGTTTCTGGCCGTTTTTAGGCATTGGCGTTTCCTGGTTTTACTACGTCTATCTTTCTCTAGAAATTTTGGTATGAAGGATCTGTCTAGAAGAATTTCTAGACTATTTTATACAGTATTTTTGGCATTTTTTAGATCTACGCCAATTTTTCCCAATTTTCGACTTTTTTTACCTGTTTCTAGAAATTATAGGATAAAGAATTTTTTTAAAAATCCTTTTCTAGGCTGTCTTTTACGTGTTCTTACGTTGGTCTTTTGTTTTTTTTTAAATCTGCGCCAGGTTTTTACTTTGTTAGTGGTTTCTAGACTTATTTTTCAGGCACGGCTTTTATTTTTTCGTAGCCTACGTCTAGTTTCTTAATTTCATCTTTTTATGCGGTTTTTGACGCCTCGAAACTAGCTTTTCCATCAATTCCATATCGGCCTATTGTCCCTTGCCCTGGGTGGTGCCCATAATTTATGCTAGTCATGCCCAAAAACTTCTTCAAAATTGCAATCGAGTTGCGCTTTCCGGTATCGACAAAAAGTCCTGATTTTTACAAATTTCGGCAAAAAGACTATCTAAGACCCTTAGAAGCTTTGAAAAGTCAAAATTTACGTAAAAAATCGGCCATTCTTGGTCGAAATCTACCTTTTTAATATTTTTGAATAAAAATTGTAAATTTTTAGCGCGTAGTATTGTTAAAAAAAACATGTAGAACCACTTCCACTATTACTATTGGAAAATCAGACCCTGCGAAAAGAAAGAGGTTGATATCCTCCCCCGATAATGGACAAGATCCCTCCGAGATCTCGCTTCATTGAGAAAAACAAGCCGAGCTCAATCTTTTCTCCATTTGCACGTTTTGGGCTTTGAAGCGCTTCCGTGCACTGTGTAGGGCATAATCGGCTTTAGATGGCATGGTAGGCAGCTAGCTTCTTTGTCCTGCCGGGTGCCTCAGGCTTCCGCACACAACTTCACACCGGAGATAAGCCTTTGGCGGTCAGCAGGCTTGGCTGACTGCATCAGCGCCTTTCTAATCGAGCCCCCATCATTTTGCACCTTCTGCCGCTGTCCGGGTTTGACGCGTGAATGACTCGATCTAGGGGAATGGTTTTTTAGCAGGATTGTTCACCAATGGACCCGGATCGGTAAGGATCCGGATCGGACCTGGATCCGGATCCGGATCGGATCCGCAGTAGGATCCGGATCCAGATCCAGCTCCAGATCCGCTCGGATCCGGATCCAATGCGGATCCGAGGAAAAAAGGGACCGGAAGTAATATTCTCGATTATGATGCTGATTGGGTCATGTTAATCGCAAAAATACATAGCCCGGAGGCAGAACAGATCTTTGCATCTAGGAATTAGCACTTAGCTCGGTTGCATGATCCATTTCCTTGGATCCGGATCGGATCGGATCCGCCCTGGATCTGGATCCGGATCCAGATCCGGATCCAGTCCGATCCGAAAATGACCAACCCTGTTTCTTAGGAATTTCGCTACGTACTGGTTTATAGATACTGGGCTGTTAGCAGGGGGGATGGGAACTAGTTTTTAATATTTTAGCCTCTACCTACCTGCAAATAATAAATAATCTATTTTGATAGTGTTTTTACTGTTTTGGATTGTTTAAAAAGTATCAAAAAATGAACATTGAAAAATTTGCCGTGTTTTGTCAATTTTCATGCATTTTTGAAAAACTCTCGTCTTTTCGACCGGTTTTAATGTTTTTTTTATGAACTTTGCCGATCTAAAAACTGTGAAATGCTTTAAAACGGATTACTGGGAAAAAGGTGGAAATTTTGGTGGATTTTATAGCCGTTTTAAAAGGATGGACAAGAAAGGAATATGGCTTTTTTATTGGCCTGTGGATGCGCCGTATTTTCACAGTTTTTGGCTAGAAAAAGCTCTGAAAAATTATCAAAATTTTCGAAAATTACTTACTTTTTGGTCGAAATGCATGGAAAATTTCCATTTTTCAAAGTTTCTTGTGTAACTTTCAGTTCTATAAACCATAAAAGTACTATAAAAATACATCATATAACATTAAATCGACGGAAAAGTATAGCCGGGCAATACAACAATTACCCCCCCCCCGCTAACAGTCCAGTACCGTTTTCCTGGAACACGGCTTCTAAAAGCTCAGGGTGAAGGGAGGCTAGTCCAAACTTTGCCCCTTCCTGCCAGCCAGGTCCGAGCTTATCTACCCGGGTCCCCCGCCGCGGGAAATGACACCTTTTGTTTGTCCGTCGATCTCCTTCCCCTCCCTCCTCCCTTCTTTTTGCTTTGATCTGATGGTGGTGGTGGCGTGGTTGCGCCTTCCGATTATTCCGTAGCTTTGTGATTTCCGGATTTCGACATTCCATCTGCCACCTCAAAATCCCCGAAATTCAGATCCGGTGAATGAGCGAGGCGCTGCTGTCACCGAAAGCCCTAGAAGCCATCCGGGCACTCGAGGAGAGCAAACGGAATCAGAGTCAGTTTTTCAGCCGGGAATTTCGGCGAATGGGAAACGCCGAAATCCCGACGTTAAGAATGTGAATATCGAGATTCAAATTATCGAAGACGAAAATGCCGACAGCCATAATCCATCCAGCCAAAAATCTCGACAGCAAAATGCCGACAATCATGTCCCTGAGAGCCGTAATACCGAAAGCAAAAATCCCGATAAGCATAATCCCGACAGTCATAATGCCGACAACCATAATAAGGACATCCAAAATGCCGACAACCAGGATCCCAGACATATTACCGACAACCAAAACACCGACATACGGACGTTGGTCTTGGGCCTAGCTTGTCGGCATTTTGCCTCGGTTTTGGCTTATTTTGAATTCGCGGTTGTTCGCTGTCGGCATTTTGGTTGTCGGGATTTTCGCGGTCGGCATATTGTCAATCAAGATTTTGGCTGTCGGGATTTTGGCCTTAGAGAATCTGGGTGTCGGTATTTAGAATACCGGGATTTTCGCTGTCCGCATTTTGGCGTTCAGCTTTTGAGGAATTCATGAGGCCTTCGTGATTTTGCCGCCGAATTTTAATAAAGAGCTTTTTGGAAATGTGGCCCTCTTAATTTTTGAATTTTTTTCCGGCTTTGAACGCTCAACTTTGAACCCTGTTCCGCCAGATCCGCTTCATCAGCTTCGCTTTTTTGCGCGCAAATTTCGTGGTACTTCGAAAAGGACACTTGGGCCCCATCCATCACATTTACAGCCTATTTTTTGCGCGCTTTCTTATCGGCAGAATCGGTGAGTTGAGGGGGGAAGGGTGCAGAATTTGGTCGGTCCGTCATGAGTAGCCGCGTGTAGCCACCGCGAATTCGTCGCGTACTTTGGGATGGCGCTGGAGCTGGGTATGGGATTTTGGGCATTTTTGAGCTTTAGGGTTGTAAGATTTGTACTGTTTTTAGTGATTTTCCAAGACTGGAAAAACCAAAAATCATTTTAGAGTGATTTTAACCAGATTTGGAGCATTTTAATTCATCTTCATGCATTTTTGGCCAATAATTTAACCTTAAAAGCGTTAATTGTGAAATTAAAACGCGAATTGGCCAGGAAATTTTGCAAAAATGGTAAAAAAATGCTTAAAATGCTTTCAAAAAAGTTGTTGAAAAATTTAATACTAAAAAAGTGTAAAATTATACACAAACTACGAACTTTTCCGTTTCAGAACTATGGTCGCGCGAAGCGGTGCGCCTTCAGACGGCGCTGTTGCTGTGCATGGCGATGGCGTGCAACAGTCTGATGAGGGGCAGCATGTCGTTGGCCATCGTTTGTATCGTGGCGAGGAACGTGTTCCCGACTACGGCCAATAACAATGACACCACGGTGGCGGCGCCGGCGGAGGATCGGTTTAATGTGAGTTTAAAGGGGTGGCGACAGCTCAAAAAGGCAGATTTTAAGCCGTGTGCTAGCTCGAAAAGCAGCGGAAAAGCTCTTTTTCGAAGACATAATTCCCGGTACAAAAACGCGCGTTTTCAAGGGACAATGCTAGCTAGAAAATCTGCGTTTTAAAGGGATGGTAACAGCTAAAAAATCTGCTTTTTAAAGGGACAGTGCCCTGCCTTCAGTTTCAGTGCTTTTAAAGGCCAGTGAAAATTCTGCTTTCAGAGAGAATACCAAGTGGACTGGACCTCCGAGGAGCAGGGCCGGATCCACACCGCATATTATATCGGCGCCTTTCTCGCCATCCTCGCTACAGACTACATTATTCGAAGGTGAGCCAATGGCTGAGCGGTAACGTTCACGCCTGCCACCCAGAAAGCTTGGGTTCAACCCCGTCCGAGGCCAGATTATTGCTGTTGCTGAAATTTTGAGATCGACTGAAGTGAAAGAGAGAGAGAGAGAGAGAGAGAGAGAGAGAGAGCGAGAGAGAGCGAGAGAGAGAGAGTTATTTCAGATACGACCCGAAACCGGTGCTGTCAGTAGCGCTACTGCTGAACGCGATCGGGTCGATTTGTGCGCCATTCTCCGTCATTCTGCTACAACATCATTTGTACCTCGCTGCCGTGCGGTTTTTGATGGGATTTGGGAGTGGTGGGTTGGAAGAGCGTAGCTATCTCTCGCCTTCCCTTGTCTCTCTCTCAATTAGCGAAGGCTCCCTCACTGTATTTCATTTATTGTAGTAAAAAAAGACAAACTTTTCAGGCCTCATCGCCCCCTGCGGCCTGTTCATCATCTCCAAATGGTTCCCGATGACCGAGAAAAGCACGGCTGTGGCCGTCTTTACCACCGGGAATCAGGTGCACAATCTCTTCTCTCTCTCTCTCTCTCTCTCTCTCTCTCTCTCTCTCTAATTAAACTCTTAAACTCCAGCTCGGCATCGGCCTGTCGATGATCTTCACCGCCAAGCTGTGCCAGGCCACGTGGGGCGGCGGCTGGCCCCTGGCCTTCATTGGATATGGTAAGGGCTTTTAGTATTCGTTTTTAGTAAATTAGTGTCACGCTCGCTTTAAGTTTAAAAGGACTTTCTAGGCCTCCTCACCCTCGTCTACGTCATCATCTGGCAGTTCAGGGGCAGCTCGCGGCCACGCTGTTCTAAATATATCACGGCCACGGAATTGGAGTATATTACAGGTGAGGGAAAGAGGGAGAGAGCGAGGGAGAGAGAGTGAGAGGGAGAGGCGAGCGAGGAGAGGGGGGGGGGGGGGGGGGGAGGGGGAGGGGGGGGGGGGGGGGGGGGAGAGGGGGGGGGGGGGGGGAGGAGAGAGGGGGGGAAAAGGGGGGGGGGGAAAAAAAAAAAAAAGGGAAGAGAGAAAGAGAGAGAGAAAGGAGCGAGAGATAGGCAAAGTATTTTCGCGCTTATAAAATAGTTTAAGATGATTTTCCAGGCCGTCGCGGCATCAAAAGCCGAGCGAAAAGTGTCGTGCTCAAAACTCCCTGGAAAGAGGTAATTTCTTTTTTGCTGATTTTTTACAATCCTTTTCCAGATTCTGTTCTCTCGCTGCGTGTCTGCTATTTGCGTGAACGCCTTCGCGCAGTCGTTCGTCCTCGTGGCGATGATCACCTACCTGCCCAAGTTCAACCAGGAGGCGCTGGGCATGGATGTGGCCACCGTCAGTTTTTACAAGTTTTTCTTGATTTCATTGGATTCTGACCGCATAACATCTTTGTTCAGCAAAAAGCAAAAGCTTACCGGCAGAAGGAATCGAACCCGCCCCGGGTTGAAAAAAAACCCTTAATAAACGGGCCCCCCCACCAAAAATTCACTTTTTTTATATTTTAGGTTTTTAGACCGGTATCTAGTTTTTATTTTCCAGAACGGCATGTGGTGCTCGGTGCCCTTCTTCGTGCAGACGGCCACCAAGATGCTGTTCGGCATGTGGGCGGACGCGATGAAGAAGCGCGGATGCAGCAGCACAGCAGTGACTTGGGCCTTCAATGGAGTGGGTAAGCCCCGGGGGAATACATAGACGATTTCCATACACATTTTCGGAAAACGTTTTTTATCGCTTTTTCGAAAATTCGAAAATACATTTTTCGAAAGCCAAAGACCTGAAATTTAATTTGCGCCGAAAATTTCTGAAAAAATTTAACATTTCGGAATAATGTTTAATTTTTAATTTCGCTAACCTATTTTGATACCTTCATTTTTAGCAACATTCGCCGCTTCCTTTTTCATCGTTGCCGCCCCGCTCGCTGCTGCTAGCCCGACCTTGTCGATGTTGTGCGTCTGCGCGGCGATGGCGCTATTTGGGGCCTTTGTGCCGGGGTATAACACGGCCGTCGTGTGTGTCGCGCCGGAGGTGGGTAAATTTATCAAAACATTTAAAACATAACGCTGCAAAATGCTAATTTTAGTAATTTTTCATCTTTACTTTGATTTTTATGAAATTGCCAATTTTTGTCTGCTTTTTGCCAAATCTAGTTAAAAATACTTTCGCTCTGTTTCGCATTCGCTTTCTCCCTATCTCACCCGCTTTCTCTCTCTTGCTCTCTCTCTCTCTCTCTCTCTCTTTCCCTCTCCCTCGTTTCCTCCCTCTAAAAAACTAAATAAATGTAAATATCAAATAACTACAAAATAACATCAATAATAAAAAATATTAAACGTGATAAACTCACTAAAAATCTCTTTTAGTTCACAGCTACCATCTCCTCCTATCAGCAGTTGTACTCGCAAATTGGCAGCCTGCTGGCCCCGTTTCTCATTGGGATAATCACGAGAAAGGTAGCTGTACGAAAGAGAGAGACGGAGATAGAGAGAGCGAGGGAGAGAGAGAGAGAGACATAGCGAAAGAGAAAAGAAAAAAATTCAACCCCTTCCAGGGCACGTACGAAGAATGGCGAACCGTCTATCTGATGCTCGCCTTCGTCCTCATCATCGCCGGCCTTTTCTACCAAATCTGGGGACATGGTGGGCCAAAAACAAACTTCAAAAGCGAAACGATTTAAAACCTAAAAAAAAACTCAAAACAAATTTTTATAGGTAACGCCGAGCCGTGGGGCAAAAATGACGGCTCGCAGCTGACGTCGATTTGCATCGAAAACGGGGAGCTCGACGAGAAGGGAGATGCAATTAGCCGGCAATCTTCGAGGGTATTTTAAAGCTTTATCTTTAATAAAAATTTTAACTTTAACTTTTCAAAAATATGTCATTTCTGAATATTCCATTTTAGCGCAGTTTAAACGAGATCAACGCGCGGCTGGCCAACGAAAAGCCAACGGTGCGGACGAATCGGACTTCCCGGGTCTCGTACCTCCTCGTAAGTTGAAAATAATCGTTTCCGGGCATTTCTATAGACACCTAAACGATTGTTTGCTCTTTTCTAACGTAGAAAAAGCCTAATATGACCTTATAATCGCAATAAAACGTGCCAACTATTTTGCAGGACTGTGAAGCCAACATCCCGGAGACGATCTACGAGCTGGAGAACGACGTGATAGAGGAGGAATCGGACCTGGGCGATGAAAAGGCGGATAAATTGAGCGCCCCGATGACGCGGCGAAGGCTACTTTCTAAAGACCCGGACCCGGAGATGGTCAACCTCAACGGGAAGTAGGAAACCCAAAAAGGCAACGATAATTTGTTTCTATTCTATTATTTTACGCCAAAAATTCGGTGCTTTTGCATTAACAGGGGGGGGGAGGGGGTGAATCCTTTTTCCAAATTTACCTTTTTATAAGCAAAAACTTGAAAAATATAGATTTTTCGCCTAAAAACAGCTGATTTTCGACAAAAATTAAAATTTTGAGTTTTTAGATAGTTTACACCAGAAATATGGTTACATTTTGGTTATTAAAAATACTATTACGTTACAAGGCATATCTGGACACCTAGGAAAATCCCCCTGATAATGCACAAGTACCAAAAATCCCCCATAAAACCTGTGATATCTTTCTAGCTGCTGCTCAATTTTCAAAAGCTATTATTTGCTCACAAAAAAACATTCCCCCAAAAACGAGTGCCAATTTAAAGTATCTAGCTCGACTTCCTATACCGAAAACAATACGGGTAAAATGACTCAATTCTTGTGATCTTCCCCCCTCAGCGATACATTGTATAAGGATGTTTATTCTTCTAGCAGATCCCCCTTATGAATTCAGGGGGTTGATTATTATGGTTTTTTTGACGACGAGATAAACGATATAAATTATAATCCGGTCCTATCACGAAAATGTCACACACAGGAAATGGAGATTTAGCAGCCAAGATATATATTTCAAGGAGAAGCCGAGGTGACCAGAAAACGGTACTGGACTCTTTGCGGGAGGACTCATTTACTTGTATTTTCCTGGTTCATGCCGGACAGCAGGAAAAATTTTTATTTTTGAAATTTTTGAACAAGAATTCACATTTTCGAACCTCAAAAATTTTTATAAACTTGTTGGCCAAAAACTGTAAAATTCAATATGGTTTCTATTTCGGTATCAGGCCATACCGGATTGCCAAAATCACCCCCGCTAACAGCCCAGTACCCCAAAAACAACCGGAGGGTGTGTGCGTAAGAATTATCACATTGGGATTGATGATGATGATGATGTTAGAGGTGAAAAGAAGTGAAGTGAAGTGAGGAGCACCCGAAAATAAAAAAACAAACACACAAAATGCCATATCTTTAGCCGCCAGGGTGTAGCCGATGTCGTTGCTGCTTCAGCTAGAAAATGAACTTACTCAGGAAAAATCTAAAAAACGCACCAGGTCCCTCGAAAATCGGTCCATATTGTCGTTGTGTTCCTAAATGGAAAGCTGTTTGTAATGTTTAGTTTAACAGGTTTATTCTACTATATTCGTGATAAAGCATTTTAATTTCATAGAGATAGAATAATTTTGTAAAAAGCTTGCAAAACGTTTCAAAATTTCCAAATTGGTCAAAAATCTACTTTTTAATAATTTTTTAATATTTTAACAAAAGTTTTGTAGCATTTGCCCGCTTAAGATTGTTAACAAGAAAGTTAAAAACTACATTATTTGTAAATAAAAGCGGAAAAATAATGAAGCTTAAAAACGTTTGTAAATTAAATACAAAAACGGTTTTTTAAAGTTTTTAACATTAAAACGTTGCAACATTTTTCCGCTTAACGTTCGCAAAAAATAATTAAAAACGTCACTATTGAGCTAAAAAAAATTGGTACAGAGCAAAAATTCATATCCCCCCACATTTTATCATATTAAGAAACAAAAAAAGGGCAATGATCAGATAAATTACCGCGTAAGACGGAGAGGTGATATCCGGGTTGTAGCGCGCGTAGTACTCTTCCCAGACGTGAATGAACTGAACATATCGCGATTAACAAAAAAGGAGAAAAATTAGGCTTACCGCAATCCGGGTGTTCATCTTCAGGAAAACTTGGCGATTCCTGTTATCGATGTAGAGCGGATTCAAGAAGCGCCGCTTCTCCTCCAGCACGTACGACCACAGGGAAACAGTTTGAGTGGCACATTCCTGAAATTCATGACTCGAAAAACCACTTAAAAACCAACATTTTCCACATGGCGTGCCTTTTCCGTGTTATACAGGAAAGTGCCGAATCGGCACGAGTACAGCTCGTCAAGGATGCAGATCAGCAAGCTGGAGGTGAACTCGAAGTGGGCGGGGAACTAAGAATTAAAATTCTGGATAAAATTACACGATAAAATTATTACCTGACGCATCAGCTGCCAAACGGAGTCGATAAATTGGACGAAGATCGGCGAGCGCTCGTCGTCAGACGCCTTATTTTCGCCATGGCCTAAATTTGCAGGCTTCGGCCGAAGGTCGGGAAAAAGGCCCGGTTCTTTCGTTATGGGGTGTTATCGTGGTAAAAAAAGGGTTTATAGTACAAATATAAAAATGGCTAATAACTTAATAGGCAATATTTTCATGTTTTTAGCAAATCAAAACTTTATTTTGACCAGAAAAATTATCTTAAAACTTCGACAAACTTTTCAAAAGCTCCAAATTTTGGTGAAAAACGGCCATTTTTGGTGGAAAATCTATTTTTGTATTGTAAATAAAATTTTGAATAGTTTTACGTTCAGGAATAGTAAAAAAGTTCAAAAGATCTTCAGCTACTTTGATTTTAAAATGGGTTTCTAAGCAAAAATTGTCTCCACGATAATGGGAATACCCCAAATTCGACAAAATGAAGTTAGAAAACACCCACCTATCCTTTGCGCAAACTTGAAGCCGAAGCTGCACCACTCCTTCTCGATCAGAATCGCGAATCCCTCGACGCTACGGTAGTATGGATCGAGCATTACGAGGGCGAGGGCGGCCAGCTGCGCCGTACGATCCCAGCCATCCGAGCAGTGGACGACAACCGAAGATCGGCCCTCCTCGACCAGGTATGCCATTTCGGCTGCACCCTCGCAGATCGACTAAAATTACCCATTTAACGAATTCCCGACAATCCAAACCCTAATATGCTGCAACCACTTTGTATCTTCGATCTGCTTCAAGTAGTTGACCTCGTCGATTTTCGGGAATAGCGCCGATTGAAGCTTTTGCAAGCTAAAAGAAGGCTACAAAACGATCGACAACAACTTACGATTCTCGGACGACGTGGATATTGTGAATATCAAGAAATGTGAGCTCGCACATGCCATAATTCGTCTTCTCTTCCCAGCCACCGCCTTTCGCTTTGTTTACCTAAAAATTCGTGCAATTTTTTTGATTTAATACATACCACAGCGTTTAGCATAGGCCGTGCGTCGAAAATGGCCAATGGTTGTGTTTGGTTGGTCGTTCGGAGGATCATTTCCATCAGTCTATAAGACCAAATAAATTAAACCAGCAGTAGAACTCACGCTTCGTCCTCCTCTTTCCGCTTCATCGTCACGCCGGTCAGCGGTTGCGCGCATCGGGTGATAGATGTTTTGTGGACGGGGTGAAGCCAGGAAAGCGCCTAAATACGAAAAAAATTATCGAGTTCTTCGCACCATGCTTCTAAAACGCTTTTCGTTGTACCTAAAATTAAAAACTTTACAAATTTCGATTAAACACCGGAAAAAAAACGATTTTTCGACCAAAACTGACGATTTTCGAGAAAAATCTGAGATCTTAAAAACTTTTCTAATCGGCCCCCCCCCGATATTGCGAAAGTTCTAAAAGTTACCGGAATCCGCTGTCGACTCCTGAAGTCAGCAACCTTTTCCAAAAATTCCTTTTTCTTCATGGCTTCCCGGGGAACGCCGAGCTGAAAATCAAGGTGTTTTTGTAAAAAATTAAAACAGACCACAGATGGGTAGGTTGGCGAGAATTCGTACATGCAATTGATGCCGGATATCGCCCACACGTCCTTGGCATTTGCCGCATTGACTAGAAAAAATTGAGGATATTTGGCTCAAAATCAAAAAAATACCTATCCGCTGCAACTCTGCCCTGGCATCAAACAATTCCCAGCCATTTCTCTCGTATTTACTGGCGCCTGGGAACGGGCTATTTCCAAGGGCCGCTGCGTGGGCATACGCGAAGAGCTTCTAAAAATCATTTGTAAAAAACCATAAAATTAAAAAAACGCAGTATTATGAAAAACAATCGCTAAATTCTAACGTCTCACACTTTAAAAACCAACCATCTCGTTAGACAATGGAAACGCGTAGGTTGATAGGCTATGAAAAAGTAATCGCCGCCCACGCGTGCTTTGGCACGACAGAAATCGTAATAAACGCATGTCCTAAAAAAGGTAAAAATCAGTTAAAACCACCCACTTTACAATGGATATCAAGACCATACGAATCATCCGCTCTCGTTATATTTTTATGACCAAACTAAAATTTAACGAGTTACTATTATCAAAAAAATAAGCCCACCTTTTCCACTTTAGAAATTATGCCGAGCGGCACGTCGAATTGTATTTTCTGGAACACGTAATTAATGTTTACGAATAATTTATTTACCTCTTTCCCGTTCTGCCCTTGAAAACGCATCCGATAGGTGGTCACCGTCACGGAACCCATAACTTTTGTG